ATTTCCCATTTCTGTTACTCAGGAGCTTAATTTTCTTAGCTTTGTATTTTTCTACAGCACAAGTCCCAAGGTACAGAGCACATTTACTCAGCCCCCAGATACTAGCAACACAATTGATGCATCTACACGCTGCCCTATGGCAACATAGCGATGTAGTACGTCATTGTACGGCACGTTGCAGCAATGTAGTGATCATGTGTGTCTACCCGTGATTGCCAGCTACGTCATCATAGCAGTGCAATCCCTGGGTATAGTATGCCACTCCGGCAACGGAGTGGCAAAATCTACCCATGAGCTGCATGCACAGCATAGCTATTGCCCTTACTGCACCATGCTTTAATACTTCCAAAAGGAAGTATTAAGCATGGTGCTGTAGCAGTGTCACCATATGGCAATGTGTAGACACTCCCACCATAACTTAGTCCCTAGGAGAACTGAGCAGTTTGGATATTCTGTAGGTAACTGGCACACACAGGGGTTACAGTGACCTCTTTCCTGTATCTCTCCCTAACACAAATCTTACCTAGAAGAATTAATCAGGAAATGCCAGCCAATGCATGGAAGAAAGATCCATTAGGCAATCACAACAAACTGATACAGTCACTAAGTGGCTACTTCTCAGGGCTAAATGATTGCCCAAAGATTAAGACTTGCTTGGGGCTGCCTGATTCCGGATTTATTTGTAATTCACATTCCTAATTTGGTTCAGCTATGCCTGATTGACTTATTGGCTACAGGCAGCTGAGTGTCAAGAAAAGCCCAGGGCTTTAAACAGAATGATGCCTGTTCAATGCTTTGCAAGTCTAGAATTACACGTAGTCGCTGACTGCTGTCAAGACTTGTTTCCCTGGTTTCATTCTGGCCCTTGTCTTAGTTAATGCCTCATTCTTGTTCCCAGCACCTGCCATGGAACCTGCCACAGCCTGTTCCTCAGCTCCTGCCATGGTTCTTGCTTTCCCCTGGGCTCCTGTTCTGTTTGTTCCCTGGACTCTGTCCCCAGGCTTGCCTCCGACCTAGCCCTGTCACCCTTGCCATTGCCCTGGACTGCCTGGTTTCTGACATCTGACACAATGTGTGATTACAGTTTCTGTCTTAGATTCTCAGCTCACTTTCTCATGCTGTCTCTTGGCTCTGCTTTTTAGGTTTTTCTTCAGATTTTGGCCCCCACTACTCAGGCAGTCTGCCTAAGTCCCAGTTTGCAATGCTGCTTGCCACAATCTCAAAATGAACAAAGATGATTAGCTCGGGATCCATGGTCCTAACTATGAACAGTTTCATTATAGAATAATTGCTGTATGTGGGCTGTATTGCAGAAATCTAGCTGATACTGAAGGTCTTGATGTGAGTTTATCCTTCCTTTTTATGAGACCCAGAATGCAAAACAGACCAAGATGTGGAACAGCCATTCTGTTCATTTCCAGGCTCAGAGCTCTCAAAACACTGCAGTATTTTTCAGTTTTCAAGGGCCTTGCATATATTATTATAGCAACTGAATCAGAATCCTTTGAGTATTCTCACTTTAACTATAGACTCAGAGACAAAGCTAACCCTGTACATTGTTTTTATCAATAATTCTCCAGACAACAAAAGTGCTCCAGATTCTAAACTCTATCCAGAAGTGCTGCAAGAAATCATCTGGCATGACTATGAGGTTCACACTCCAGTTCTCTTGGAGACTTTAATATTCACATAGAGAGTATTTAATAGGCTCAATTTCTTCTATCTAACTTTTCTGCCTAAAATTTCTCACAGGCCTCTAAGGACCCTGCTACACTTTCAAATTAAAGCTAGGTAAAACCAGCTATAGGGTTGTTACACATTTTCAAGCACTAACTTCATAGTGGTTGGCTCTTTTTATAGCTAGACAATCATTTTTTACTGTGTGATAATTACTTGGCAAGTATCGCTGATCTAAATTTATTTCATGATTAGCCAGTTAACTGTGTGATAATTACTTTGCATATGTGGCCAGTTTAAATTTATTGCATGATTAACCAGTTAAATGCATAATATATGTAACGTGGCAGGGGCCTAACACATGCACATGATAACCTGGATTGGACCTTCAAGTTGGATGTGGACATAGGAAACACCTCCAGTGTGGTTAAACCACTTTCTTCTCCCCTGTTGTAAGTCAAGAAACTAAGCACTATTGAGGCATTCCCTGAAAACACGTGGACTCTGCCTATTGACAAAATATACTAAAGAAGCCTTTACCCAAAACAGGATGCATTCCTGTTGTATAGGAGCCAGATACTGCAAGCTGCTAGGAGTATGATTCTACAAAATAGATACAGTTTTATGAATAAAACAGTGAAAGGCCATTGCTTTATTATAGTAAAGCAGTTATCAGGGAAAAAAAAATAACCTGAAGGTTCTATGTTAAGAGTAAATGCAACAACGTTTATTTGTAATTCTCATTGTTCCACTGGTAGGACTTTTCCCATCACAATGTTCATTATTGAGCCTGCCTACTTGTGGAATTCAAGATACCAAAACTTCAAACATAAGGTTGCCAAGTAATAGAAGTGGAATATTTCTTGTATTGTAGGGGCCTAGAAACAAAGTTTAGTCATCCATGAGGGGAAACTCAACAGATAAATCATGTCTTCTCTGCCCTTGTACCCTGTGGTCTTTTGAAGGGGAGTGAGCTGCTCTGCTCTAATTTTTCCTTGAAAAATAACTTTGGGAGATGTTTCAAGATTCTGAATTTTTAGTTAATTAGTAAAAGTAAAAGTTGGATTAGGGTGAAGGCAAAAGGTATGTGGGGTGAAGAATTGCAGAATGAGTACAGGTATTTTATTAAATCAAGACAAATAGAAGCATAAACATTCATATAGTATCTCTTTCCATTTGCTTTATACAATGATTTATTTAAATTAGGCATTCTGATAGAAAGTGAGTGCTTTGCTTTACATGTGATCTCAATTTGTTAGGAAATTTAAACATAGGTATGTGTGGCAGGGCACTGTTTGTGCCTGCCACTTTAAGACCTAAGCCAAGCAGCCAACTTTAAGACCTAAGCCAGGCAGCCAGCAGGTGCCTGATTGTGGCAGCCATTTTAGATTCAGGGTTGCCTATATAAGCAGAGCATTTTGCTGCTGGCAGGCTAGGTAGCAACATTGCCTGGCTGCAAGGCTGCTTGTATCATCCTGGAGGTAAGGGCAGGAGCTGTAGGGGATGGCTAGGAGGCTCCTGGTCTGGGGCATGACCTAAAACTGCACCCTGCCAGGAGTGGGTGGCCTTGTGGGGCTCTCAGTGGTATGGGAGTCCCCAGGAAATGCCAGACCAGTTACCACCCCAGTGAAAGGTGGGTCGGGGTGCCTTAATCCCAGCTCCCACAACTGGGTGGGTCACCTGCTAGTAGGGCCAGAAGGTGGACTCAGGAGCGAGAGTGGGGCTAGAGGCTCAGAGGCTTGACTGATAACACCCTTGACTGGTCAATGCTGGGGCCAGGACCAGATTGGTCAAAAGGGCCACAGGCTCACTGCAAGGGATGCCCAGAGCTGAGAGCCTGGGGTTCCAACTGGCTTTGGAGGTGAGGCCAGGGGCTGTGTGGCCAAAGGTCCCGGGGGGACTGGGCCCAAGAGGGGAAATAGTTTCAGGGAGCGAGGCAGCCCTGAATGAGGGCAGGGTAAGCTGTCGGAATGGAGGTATCTTAGAGGGGTCCTGATTGGAGGATTCTGGGGCCCAGTGTGGGGCCAGTGAGACTAACATCTGTGGATGCCATCTGCGAAGCATGAGCTGTGGTGTAGGGGAGGAACGGAGCTGCAGATAGTGTCCCCTATCAGGGCATCAGGGCAAGAAATGGGCAGCCTCCTGCCTAATTAAGATCATTAATTAATTAACAACAATGCATGGCAGGCGAGAAGGTGGGCGGTTGGCCCAGAACAGGTAGGAAGGGCCATTGGTAGACAGGCCCAAGAAGGCCCCCTGTTACAGTATGGCATTCTAAGCATCTTCTTGGGGATAGTTATTCTTTGTATTAGTTATGGTGCTTTTACTCCTTCAGTGAATGAGCCCCAGGAGAATAAAGGCACAATATTGCTATTTGATGTCCCTCATAGGAACAGGGGCAGCTTTGCTTCCTGTCAGGACCTCTAACATTTGATGACCCAATGAAGATTTACTAAGTCCTACCACTTTCGTTATCTGAATGGTCCTGCTGCCTAGTTTTTCAGGCAGTACTGTCCATCTACAAACTTTCCAGTGGCCTTGAGCACCCAACAATTTTCCTCCACCAATGGAGTCTCTACATGTAGTATTATTATAACAACAGGATCTGAACTTTTGAGTTGAATATGGCCCCATCACTTTGAACAAACAGGTACAGGTGTATAATCAGTCCCAGAGGATATGTTTGCATCTCACAATTCAATACTGAGCAGAGATACTTGAGCTAGCTTTGGGTATCAGAAGCAGTATAGCCATATTGGATGCAATATGGATGCCATATTGGATTGCAAAACTGAAATCCTGAAAATGGAATAAATTTTGGTTTTTTGATAAGAAATCCTGTTTTTGCTGTGAAAAGCAAACACAAAAAAAGCCAATTGTCCAAAACTGAAGTTTCTACTGAAAAAATATTGATGGAAATTTTTCAGTCATCTCTAGTGAATCCATAATATAATATTCCTAATAGTACCTGGTGTGGTGGATTTGTGTTTAGTTTAATCAGCCTGGGAATGTAGGGGCTGCTATACTAAATCATGCCTATAGTCTTCATAGTTCAGTGTTCTGTTTCTGCCAGTATCTGGGACCAGATGCCTCAACACAAGAATTGTGTCAATAGACACTTATGGAAACAATTGCCAGTAGAAATTTTGTTCTAAGCCCTACAAGGTAGTGGTTGGCTTATCCCCTAGCTTTTTATAATGTCATCATTAAAAGTGTTTTATTCTTTCTATTAATAAAAGCTGTGGACTTTTCCTTTCATCAAAGTAACAATAATGTGTCTTGATGCATGTATAATTTATTAATTCTCATTGTATTTTCTATAGGGCTGGCCTTTGCTGTTTTGTCTTCAGTCCACCCAGTATTTGGTTTATATGGCTCTTTCTTTCCTGTCATTATTTATGCCATATTTGGGATGGGACGCCATGTTGCAACAGGTAAGTGTCTAGAAAACTTTAGGTTCTAAACCTGCAAGTTGCAGGGTACATTCTCTGAAACTAGGAAAATCATTCTGCCTTGCAGGATCAGTAGAAAAGGAAATGTCTTAGAAACAGAGTAAATGAAGGTTTATAGATTTATTGATATAATGTGCATGTGTTGCCTTTTAACAGCTACATCTTTTTCTATTTAAGAAACATTTTTTGAAGGAAAAAGGCATTGTTAAGATTATATTTTAGCCACTCCTGCCAGTATAATTTAATATTGCATCAGTTCTTCTTTTATAAATATACTTTACCAGGAGTTTAACTCCACAGTACAGATTTGCTTGAGGCTAAAGCTTCAGCAGACAAAGGCTCAGCCGAGGAGATTTTTTTAATGTGAACAAGAGCAACAAAATGTCTGGCTGTTTCTAAAGTATGGAAAAGCTTAATTACTCCTTACTTTGCTAAAACACAAACCTAGTATTTCTTGCAAAAACGGCATGATCTCAACTCCAAATACTTAATTAAAGAAAAATATTACTCCTGCAGCTGTCTCTTCATCCCCTTTACAGTAACTAGGCAGCCAAGAAGAGTTTAGTAGCTATGACTATGGAACACCTCTGTCTCCTTTCAGCAGAACCACTTACCACAGCCAGACTGGAATGTTTCTCAGCACTTACTAAATTACTGCTTCTGGCTGAGGGAGAGCCTGTTATGGAAAAGGAAGAGTATTTACCAGGTTGGACCACCAGCATGCTGCTCTGTTCTTTTGAAGGTCAGGGGAAGAGTGGGTCAGCCATATGGCTCCAGGAGAAAAGAACAGTGGGACTGGGTGAAGGAAATTAGCCTTCCCCAGATCAACAACAGATAAAAATGAGGGAGTGATAT